ACCCCCGTCTGCAATTGGATCGCCGCCCCGGCTACCCACTCGTAGCGGTACTCGTAAACGGCACCCAACAATCTGACCGTATCACAGCGGGAATGCCAACCTACTTGCGTTTAGCACGGCCGCCGACCATCGATGAAACCATCGAGCTGTTTACCCTGGCGCCGGATCAGGCCGTGCCATTCATGCTCATGGCACGCTACTTCGACCGCCGCAACCAACCCGATCCAGGTGTCCCACCGCAAATGCTCGTCATGGGTCCTCCGGGCACAGGCAAGACTCAGTTCGTACACGCACTGCTGTGGTACACGTACCAACATGACAGTCCTGACTGGGCCGCCACGTGCGCATACTCTTGGGCCGCCGCGATCGCGTTCAACACCCCAGTCCATCGCAGCCTATCTACCCACTCCATGTTCGGCATCTCAGCCAGCCAAAGCGGCTCCCGTGGCACCAACTTTCCTAAGCGCGGCGCACATGCTGGCCTTCAAGTAAAACGCAACGTCGGCGACGGCGCTGTGCTCATCGACGAAATTGGCATGCAAAGCCACGAGCACCTCGGCGCCATCAGCCACTCCTGCACAGCCAGTCTGCCGCCTCCGCCACACCTTGGGCCCGCCCATGACAGCAGCCGCGTCTTATCCGGCCGTGCCGCGGGCGGAATCGGCGACCTGCTACAGCACCCTCAGCCAGGCGGTTCACCACCGTACCGCTACGCCGCCGACGTTGAGCGAAACCCCCAGTTCACTCCCTCGGCACCGACAGCACAACGCACACCAGCTTCGCTTGACGAAGGTCGAGGTCACCGTCATGATGACAGCAACAATGACAACACTGACGCAGACGACGACACCGGCAACCGTCGCGCCACCACCTCCACACGTCGCACTCATCGCCCCGTGCCACAGACGCACACCCGCCTACACGACGGCTTCAACCTGTACCGTCAGCTCGGCGGCACCGTATTCATGCTGCAGAAACAGCAGCGGCAAGACAACAGCCCATCTGGCCAGCAGCTTACCCGCTTCGCAACCATGTTCGGCGGCATTCCAACCACTGAAGCACGTGTCGCAGATCTAGTAGACGCACTCAACCAACGCGTCATCACAGATTTGTCCGATCTCACAGACCTCGAACCCCGCGTCGTGCTGCAACGGAACGAACCCAGGCACGCGCTCAACACACGCCTCCTGATGCTCCAGGCGCGCCGCAAAGGAGCGCGTTTGGTCAGCTGGAATGCGGACCACGTCCCGGTTAGGCAACATGCCGCAACCCAACAACAGGCGCTCTCACACGTCGAAAAGGCTGTCGCAATGCGAGTAAAAGACGCCACCTTCGACCACACCACCGCCGACACTTGGTACTACGAGGGTGCACGCTACACCCTACTCGACACCACAGCTGCCGACGCCGGCGCGTGCCACAACAATGAAGTCGAGGCGTGTGGCCTGCTTACCGACAGCCGTGAACCGCCTGACGATGGCCGC